AAATAAGTTAGCCAGGCGGAAAGAAGTTATTCCAGACTCAAGAGAGCAAAAGAAGAACTTGAATTAATGGCACCATGTTTGATACTATTGAGTTTTAAGAGGCAAAATGGGAACAGCTGGTGGGTGGGATGTAGGCTGTGATGCTGGAGAGGTTGGAGAGATTGGGTCATGGAAGAGCTTGTCTGTCCTGTTGAGGAGCTCTGACATCCCATAGTGATGGAGAGCTCTCCAGTAGCTTTAATTAGAGGAGCAACCTGGTCCAGTCCTGTTTCAGGAAAATCGTTCTGCCAACTTTTCAGTGGCAAGGAGCTCATCTGAGAGCCCATGCTAGAGTCCAGGTGGTGGTCATAAACTAGGGCAATGAAAGGGGTGGAGAGGAAGGGAAAATCAACAGAACTTGGGGAAATGTATATTTTTTTTGGTATAACTTCAACATGTTTTCAGGCTGAAGAGCCAGGAGAGAGGGTGAGTGTGAAGGCCTTGGAGAAGACTGGAGCAAAGGCCAGCAGTCATAGGATGGCCTAGATCTGAGAGTGTGTGCAGAAACTGGGAAAGCCAATCGGTCAGTTCATAAAACTAACTATGAAGTTGTTACCTTAAAGAGAAGTATGGAAATAAACAGCTTAGATACCATTCTAGCATTAAGACCAGTATCTCTAAAGTCAGACGAATGTAGAAGTTACTGTAAATGTTTTTTTCCTTTGGTGTCCTATAATTTGGTTTATTTAGGGTAGGATGGGTGAGGTGAGACATTCTACTTATTGTGTTAAACTGTGGTGAAGGGCCAAGGTTTTTCCGTTAGAGACCAGTACTTCATATAATACAATGAAGATGTTGCAACACCATGCCATCACTTACTCTTTCTACTTAGCCCACTGCCGACTTGTCGCAGCCTGTGGACTGTGGCTTGAGCAGCCCTGTGCTGAACAACTCAACTGAGGGTTGGTTCCTAGTGAGGCATTACTAACTGGTTATTTATTCCTTAAAGCAAAGCTGATTAGTAGACAAATTTCTACTTGCATTTGTTGCCGTGTTAGATAGTTTTCCACAATTAAGCGTTAATACTCTGCTATGTTCATGCATAGATGCTGGAACAGTATCATTTGCTAAAACAAGCTTCAAATCTTAGAAGGTGATGAGACAGGTTAGACCAAAAGATTCCAATATGGAATCAAACATGCCTGCTGGATCTGCCTAGAAGTGGGAGTAGACCCAGTGCAGACCTTAGTGACTCTGGATACTCAGAGCTGGAACAGGCAGCAAGGGTGCAAGACTGGCCCAAACTGCTGCACTGGTGCTTCAGTCTTGGGCAAAATGGTCAGAACATGGCAGGGCCTCAGGTTCCCTTGGTTTCAGTAATACTGAGTTTGTAGGGGGCGGTTTTTGCCTTACAATATTTCTAATTTAATGTATTCATTATGGAAAATTGGGGAAATACTGAAAAAATATGAAGTGTGAAATTAAACAATTTTCTGATATCTTTCCTTCTAGTCTATTTTCTATAATTCTCTTTTCTATACAATTAGTATATTGTATGTACAATTTTACCAACTTTTAAACAATACATTATGTACTTTTTTATCATTAAAGAAAATTAATGGTGGGGGGAGAGTGGTGGGGTGGCCAGGGGAGGGGAGAAAAAAAGAAAATGGCTGCATAATGTGGATGTACTTAACTAATCCCTTACTATTGGACATTTAGGTTATTTCTGTTTTGCTAATTATAAATAATGCTATAATGAACATGGTCTATACCTTTTATTTCCTTATGGTGAAGCCTAGAATTATTAGGTCAAAGGGTTTGATATTTTTAATGACCAGTTGCTTTCCAAAGAGGTTTTACTGATTCATACTTCCAGTTTCAATTAAAGTTCCCATTCCCTGGCCAGCATTGACTATTACACTCTTTTAATCTGGAATTTTTACCTATCATCATCAAATATGCTTTAGTGTGGATTTTTTCAACATTGTATTTATTAGCCATTTGTATTTGCCAATGATCGGTTCATGCCTTTTCCCCATTTTTTGTGTATTATCTTAGGATGTCTTAATATAAATGAACTATTTGTATGGTAGAATGTTGATTTTTTATCATATTTGTATTTTTTCCAGATGGCCTTTTAATTTTTAATTTTTCTCATAGAAGTTTCAAATTATTACAAAATCATCTATTGATCTTTTCCTTTGTGATAGAAGGACCTATGGCAATGCCTTAGCTCAAGGTATTTGGAGGACCTCTACAAATTTTGCCAGTTGAGTCTTAACAATGCTGTTAATGTGTTTCACTAAACCAGAGGATTGAGAGTGGTAAGCATGGTGAAAGTGTTGTAAAACCGGCCGAGAAGCATAGACTTGCTGAAGCACTTGGCCAGTAAAATGAGTCTCTTGATCACTATGAAGCTTGAAGAATTTCCCAGATAATCTTTTTCAAAAGACTTTAGCCAAAGAAGAGGCAGTAGCCTGCCTGCAAGGGAAAGATTTGGTCCAGTATGAAAACATACAGACCAGGACCAAACCATATTTATTTTCATTAGGCAGAGGAAGTTGTATGAAACCTATTTGCCAGACCTCAAATGGTCCAGTAAGCAGTTTAAAATGTCTGGGAGCAGAACCAGCAGTCTTCCCTGGGTTATACTTGGGACAAGTGAGGTAGGCGGTTTTTGTGGCCTTCTTAATTATCACCAATACTGATTCATGAAGGCTATCATTTTGTTAGTAGACTAATTGTTTAATGCATGCACAATGGTGGGGAGTGGGGATTTTAGTCTCCTGTAGGATTTGAGTTATTTGGTCCAAACCAGAGCTTCTCTTTTTATCAAACCAACAATTGTTGAATTTCCAATCTTGTTTTTCCTTTTTTGAGGCTAACTGTTGGGTTTCTCTAGCCAGTTTTTCTAAGTTACCATTTGGAGAAATATCTCTTTGAACCATCACAGAGATTTGGTGCTGTTGGCCTCTTTAAGGGCAACATTCCTTTCAGAATTATGGGCAGGATGATTCTCCCTGGCTTCCAGACAGTCAAGTTTACAATGCCCCAGGATCTTAATCATAGCTGAAGTATCAGGTAAAAGTATTACATTCAATAATTCCTGAACACAGGGGCCATTTAAAATTTTATTTCCACTAGAAGTTAAGCCACATGGCTTCCACAACATTTATGTTGGAAGCCAGGGAACTGATTTAGCTGACCAGGGAAAGCCCAATCCTAAAAATGTAATGGGAAAGCTAAGACCAACTTTTATCTCTGCTGAAGAATCCCTGAGAGACTCAGGAACTGGGAGCAGGAGATGCCTCTGGGACTGAAGATTATGGGGTGGAAGGAGGAGGGGCTAGAATGAAGAAGACTGCTGCAGAGCTGAGTCAGGCAGTTGGCATCCAGAACCACTGCTTCCCCACCACCGCCTCTGTGGTGGTCTGGAGAGGGTCCAATACACAGACTGAGTCCTGAATTCTGAGACTCCTGGCTTCTTGCTCCACTTGGCTCTGGAATTCTGGCAACCAGACACCATCCAGGTAGGAGATTTTTAAAGAGTCCCTGAGAAATCTGACCAGCACAAGATAAAAAGACTCATAAATAGTAACATCCAGGTTCCCCACACCTTCCAGGCCAGGCTCTACACTGATCCTAAAGTGGACATATCTCACCCACCAACTCAGTTTCCACTCAGTATTTTTAAAAATTGAGATTATATTTTTTCTTTCCCTTTTATTACTTAAGTCCATGTTGCTTCAAGGGAAATTAGAAGATTTAATTAGTATCATGGTATCGAAAATCACATTTAAAACATATGAACCTTGAATTAAAGTGAAAGATCCAAGTTCACCCTGTGGGTCATTGGGGCTCTACACACAAATGAGGAACTTGGTGTAGTGGTCAGTGTGTTTCTGCAACTGTTGATCTTTAACAACTGTCTAAATAGTTTCCACAGCGCTGGATTTTCTGCTTGAAAAACCATATAGACCCACGGATCAAATACTGTTCTCTGCACAAATACTTTTCAATTACTTCTCAGTGAGAAAACATTCCAGGGCATCTGTTTTTCCCTTCCAGCTCGAGTCTGGCTCCCTTTGGCATCCGCTGGCAGCGGCTGAGGTGAGCTGAGCACCTTTTCCAAAGTCTGGAGGGGCTCTGGATGCTACGGAAAAAAGTGAATTAAGAATTATTCAGCTTCCTGCCTTGGAGCTGGTCCTGGAGGAGGCTCTGCCAGAACAGCACTTGATTCCTTTTGAGTCCCGTGTGGTCAGCGTCACCCTGCAGCTTTCTACTGGATCATGTATGGCAGGCATACTCACCAGTGCAGGCCCCACCAAGGGCGGCTCTCAGAGCTCGGTTTCGGCCTAGGTATGGGGCCACGAAGATTAAAGGACATGCGAATAAGGCGCAGTTTTGTGCTGGGCAGCAGCCTCGCAGGGCCGGCAGGTTTTTGCAGCGCTCAGTCTAGCCTCCAAAAGCTGCTCTGCACCAGCAGCCGGGCCAGATGTCCCACCCACTCCTGATTTATGTAGTGGCAGCGTCAAAACCAGATACTTTCTTACTCTTCAATTCATTCAAGAATAAAAAAGTCTTCTCTGCTGACCAGATTCTTAACCTGGGGTTCGCGGACTCCACGGGGTCTCCAATTCCCTGAAATGGTACCCCAATGTTGGCAGTAAAGGCCCACGTGCTTTTGCGGGGAGGACTAAGGCATTCATCAGTAATCGAGAGAGTTCTGACCCAAAAAAGTTTTAGGACTCAAAGCCACGGACTTTCAACTTAAACCACGGTGAGGCAAGACTGCGGCTTTGAGCAGCATTTTAACCAGTCTCCCCGCCGGGGCGGTAAAGGAGGACTCCACGCCCTCCACTGTTGCTGCCTCTCCCCGCAGCGCGCCTGGGGCGAGTTAGCCCCGCCCTCCAAACACTGCCCATTCCCCGCTCGGGGCGGGGCATCCCCATTGGGCATGCTCAGTGCCAAAGACTCGGGTTGGGCTCCTAGGCGGAAGCGGCGCCAGAGAGTGTGCGTGTGTTTCCCAGGGTTCCCCGCGTTGCCGTCATGGCCGCCTTCTTCTGCCGGTGTCCTCACAGTGGGCTTCTAGGGCTGTTGCTGTACTCACAGGAACTGTCGCCACTAGTCTACGGCGTCATTGGAGACTCCTCCTTTCACTGTTTTTTATTGACGCCTGCGTGACCCTTGTAGGAACCTGTTTTGGCTGCAGCGATGTCTGGGGTGTTGTGGACCCCGGAGCTGGCAGTTCTGAGGGGCTTCTCTACTGAGACTGACCGGCAGCAGTGGAAGCAGGAGGGAGTCGCCGGTTCGGGTGAGAGGGGTTCACCTGCCAGGGAGGAACTTAAGCCAGCGTGGGGACTGTGGGGAGAAGGGGTGTCGGCGGCTGAGTTTTCATCCCTCCTGGTTTTATTTTTTTCTTACCAAAATCTAGCTGATTCCTTAAGGCTTTGAGTTATTGCATCCTTGACATGGGGGCCGTGGTCCTAAGGCTCTCTGCATGTCTTTACCCCAAACTTCTCATCTCCCGAGTTCAGTAATAATAACATTTTTCTACTCCTTTAACATTTATTCAGTCATTTAATTTTTATAATAGACATGTAAGGTAGACACTACTTTTATTCTCATTTTGCAGATGAAGACATTTAAGTACAGATTGGTTAAGTAATTTATTCAAGGCCACAAAGCTGGTAAGCACAGAAGCTGAAACGGGGCAGCAAAGATGTAATCTTGTAACAAAGCACATGTACCGGAGAAATAAAGAATTAAAAGGCACATTTATTTACTAGTGGGGTATAGGCACATCTGGTTGTGGGATTTGGGTTGAACATATAAGAGAAATAACAATTGAGGACAGTATATAAGTGCCCTGTATATGTGTATATGGGTACACACACGCGTACCCATGTTTGTATGTATACACAGTAGGTGCTTTGGGAGAGAGGTAATTTCTAAAGTCTGGGTCTGGAAAAGTCTTATGGAAAAAGTCCATCTTGATCTGATTTTTGATTAAAGAGTAAGACTGACAAGTGGAAGAGTTCCCCATGAGAAATCACAAGTGTAAAAGTGTGGAGGCAGGCATGTGTTTTGGGATATCAGTGGAAGAGTAAGTGAACCAGCTTTTCATCAGGGTGTACAGTGGCAGTAGGAGGAGCCAGATTGTGAAAGGAAACGTTCTGACTAAGGAAACTTTTCTGTTGTCAGTAGGAATCCTTTGAATTCCCTGCAGAAGGATGATGATACTTGCTAATGAGTATTATTTTTGGGTCTAATATCTGCCTTGCTGCTCATGGTATGGATGAGCTCCAGATTTCAGGAGAAATGGTGTGTGTATAATGTTGGGAATTTGCTCAGTGTTTTGTGATTAATGTATAGAAAGGGTTCTAATTATATACATTTTTTGGCATACTAAAATAATAATAGTGTCACCCTTAACAGTATGAAAATAATTGTTCTTTGGATTATTGGCTTAATGTTTTTATATTACAGAGAGTGGATCTTTCCTGCAATTGCTTCTAGAAGGGAACTGTGAGGCCATATTCTTAAATTCATTGACTCAAAATATTTTCAATTCAACAACGGTAACTGAAGAAAAGATTGACAACTACCTAGAGAAGCAGATAGTAACATTTCTGGATTACTCAACAGATTTGGACAAAACCAAAAGGTAGAATTTTATATGAAATTTTCATAGAGAAACAGATCCTGAATTCATTTAATAGTGCCTTGAGAGTGTAAGGCACTGATTTTTGCAGTTGTTCAAAACCTGGCTTTAGGTTTAGTCAGTATTCATGATGGACGGAATAATCTGTGTAACGAGCTTCTCTCCAGGGGACCATCCAGAATAAAAAGGTAAAGTGTTGTAGGATATGAGTTTCATATATAACACTGGCATATGACTGGGTGGTAGCCGTTAACCACCTAAACTCCCAAATGGTTAGGTCTGATGGATTTTAGTCATTGGCAAAACTTCAGACCTTATTTCCTTTTAACTTGAGAGTGTGCACTAGCCATTTTGCTATTTCTAGATTGCTGAGTGACAATCGTAACTACTCTTACTATGTTTTGAATTGTTATCTTTAATGTTTTTATTATGGAACCTTTGGGTTACCTTCTTCCATTGACGTTTATGTAATTTTATAGGATTAAGTATAACAGATTGTTACCAGCAGTGTAATCTAAGTTTTTAGTGGCTTATATTTTACTGTTGTAAGTTTGTTAATATATCTTTTTTTCCCTCTACCATCTGTGGCAACCACGTCAAGTTTTGTTATCTTTAAAACACATGCAGTTTTGTTTTACCATTATTTCTAGGGAATGGCTTCATTTAGTTCTTCAACCAGTCAAGTATTGGGCTAGGTGTTGAGGTTGTGAAGATAAATAAGACAAAATCTGTATCCCTAAGGAGTCCACAAAAGAATGTTACTATAGACGTTTTATTTTACTTTAAAAATTAGTATCGTTCATTTTCGTTTTTCTGGTTTACTAGTAGTTTACATTCCTCCAATGTCGTTCTTGATTATTATTTTGTTGTCAGATGGGTGTGCAGTATCATAGCCATTAGCTTTGTGTGGTACATGTGAAAACACACACGTACACACAAATGCATTACTTACTAGTAGACCAGAATTCCAGCTTGTCACATAGAGCTGAGAAAAGACATTTCAGTTGCCTCCTTTTGAGGTATTTGAAATTAAACTGGATTCTCTGTTCACCTTAAGGATTTTGAGTTTTAGTTATGACGCTTATATGAAGGCTTTAAGGTCTTCCGCACACCCGTTTCCCCAAGTTGCCTAACTTCTGACTACAAACAGGCTCTTTTTTCACCTGTTTGCTGCTCATCCTTTGTTCCGCCCTCAGTTGTGCTGTACCCAGAGTGTTATGTTCTGGCTGCCATAGGCTTGTAGGTTCGATTTTTTTTCCTTAAAGAATCTTTCCTTTGAGGCAGGGCCTAGTGGGTATGGGGAGAAGGGGATGACGGCTTTTCATTTTTCTTCAGCATGAAGGTCTATGTTCTCTGGCTATTATTTGTTAGAGTTGAATCCCTCCCTGTTTTTGTCTTAATCCAGGAGTCAGCAAATTATGGCTGGTGGGTCAAGACCAAAATGCCTAAGAGTGATGTTTCCATTTTTAAAGGATTGTAAAAACCGAAACACATGTGACCTGCAAAGCCTAAAATATTTATGATCTCTACCATTACAGAATGAGCTTACCCATTCCTATCTTAAGCCAAAGTAGGACTGGAAAAAAAAAATAGGTTCAAGTGAAACTTCTAGGATATTTTTTGTTCTACCAGTTGGTAGTACAGGATCAGTAAAATATTTGAAAACAACTTTGTATAACCACATTCGGCTGTTGAGCACTTGAAATGTGGACAGTGTGACTGAGGGACTGAATTTGGAATTTTATTTAACTGTAATTAATTTAAATTTATAAGAGCTGTATGTAGTTCATGGTGATAATACTGGACATTGCAGACCTAAATTGTGTAGGTTTCAGAATTTTTTTTGTAATCCTCTGAGATAATCTCAATAAATGTTGGTGGATATCTTACATTTTTTTTAATAAAATGGAAATGAAATAGTAGTATGTTTGTGGTTACACGGTGCTAGTGTTTCATGGTTATTTCTTCAACTGTTCTTTCTTAAATTTTCTTTAACTATTGTTATATGCAGACAACAGCTGATATTCCTACTTGGTGTGAGCAGTTTGCAACTTTTCGTTCAGAGTAACTGGACGGGACCTCCTCTTGATTTACACCCTCAGGATTTTTTGCCACCTGTTTTGTTCCAGCACTTCAGTGAGGTATGCTTCTTGGAAATGTCAAATATAGGTATTATTGTGTTGTTTATTCTTTAAGAACAATTCTCTATAAATGGGAGTTAATAGTAGGTAGGGAAGAAACATGACATTATAG